CTCTTGGACTTTGTTGCAGGATCAAAGTAATCAGATTCCTCACTTGTACCTTCCTACGACCTTCCTCCTCTTTTCAAACGCATCTCCAGCAGCAGATCCAGAACCCCTCGGACCATCTCCAACAGGCCTCTTCCTGCTCTTCTCCAAACTCCCCAGGTTGCCACCCTTCTTCTGCGTCAAACGCTCAATGCGATCAATACCAGCGCCCAAAGTCCTCCATTCCTCACCACCGAATCCACCATCACGCTGCTGTCTCGCCTTCTTCTTCGCAGCCTCCTTCTTACTATCAGGAGCCAGACGTGTAAAGTTGGCTTCTTCGTACTCGCGCCTCTCGTTCTCTTCACGACGCTCACGCTCAGACTTCGTGTGTCGACCTCCGTTCGTGATGGTGCTTCCGATACTAGGCTCGGCGATTGGCGCACCAGAGAGCTCAGTGGCGATGAATTCATCCAGGGTGGCTGACTTTCCTGGACGGCGTTCTCGGCGCGCTTCGCGACCTTCGGGTGTTGGCATGGCCATTGGAGTGATCTTGGGTGGGCGGTAAATGCCATCCTTTGCTGATTCGCGCGCACGCTCTTGCGCCGCTTCAGTCTTTTGGCGGGTAACTTGGGTACGGCGGGGGCCGTATGCCATCTCGTCTTCATCGTCTTCGGTTTGTGCGGAACCGTTGGATTCGGCATCGCTGACGTCTGAATTGGATCCAGTATCGGCCTTGCTCTTTCTTGGTTTTTGTGCAGGCTTTGCTGTGGCTTGGGTGGTGCGTCGTGTGGCATCATCCGCGGTTCTCAAGATCTTGTCGATCTGGTATTTCAGGCGGCTTTCAAGCGGTCGCACACCCTTCTCGAGGTAGACCCTCAACTCCACGAGCTTTTGAACGACCTCATCTTGAGGATGAAGATCCGTCTCTTTCTGGTTGCCCTTGCGCGACCGTAGCTTCAGCAGGATAAGGAAAACGAGGTTCTGTAGATAGGACAGAAGCAGCTCATTCTTCACGTCCAGTAGTGAAATGCCCTCTTTTGGTGGCAAGATATCATCATTTGGAAGTGCCTCCGTGGCGGATTGAATAGACGTAGTCAGAGTCGCGAGTAGCGATTCCAGCGAGTTGTCGACGGCCATGATGTTTGAGATGGGGACGTGATCGTGGTTGCCGCGCGTTGAAGATGTCGAAGTTGCAAAGAAATTTTAGTGGGGCTTAAACGCGCTAACACACGGCCCGGTGTCTGGCCTCCATCTGGGCACCAGCTCTTCCAACCCCACCTTCATCTCATCCTAGTATCTGTCGTCAACACATCCTTTGAGCCAGTTCAGAATCATTCTAGGCTTTCTTTTGCGCTGCACAACTTCCTTTCGGGACGAGGACTGGCCATGCTGCCTGCAATATGACGTCATACCAATATTCAGCTCTTTCTCCTGGTTCCATCAGAGTGCTGGCCGTCTCAGGCACCAAAGACGCGCCGTCGTATAAAATAGAAGTATTGAATCTCGCAAACAAACCGCGGTTCGAGGCCTTGTCCTACACGTGGAACGATTACGACAACGAGGAACCTAGAGCCATTGACGGAAATGCTAACACTTATGCGTCCATTCCTATAGCCGGTGCTGGGTCTCTCAAGATCACGCTGCACCTCGTGCATATTCTAAACCATATTCACGGATTATTGGTACAACCTGGTTCGAGCGGAAGAATTTGGATAGATCAGATTGCTGTGAATCAATGCGATTTGGATGAGCGGAGTCACCAGGTTGCCCTTATGCAGCAAATCTACGGACAGGCGGAGCGCACACTGATGTGGATTGGGAAATCTGTTAACCATACGCCCGTGCTACTTGATTTGATGCAAAATCTACGTGGTATATCGCTCGATGTTGATTGGGATCGCCCTGCGATGAAGAGATTGGAAAGTAGACTACTTGCTATCTTTCGTCAAGAGGATGAGCTACGATACTCATATACAAAAGTACAATACATGAAAGCTGTTGATTGGGTCCTCGGTCTCCCGTACTTCGAGCGAGCTTGGATCGTCCAAGAGATCGTTTTGTCGACTCAGCCTACACTTGTTCTTGGATCGACACCATTTCATCTATACATCCTTCACCATACAATCTTCATCATCAGATATTCCGCAGACCCGTACCTTCAAGACGTGTACTCAGAGTTAAAACACACTATTGGAGTTGATCGCTTTCTAAGCATCGATACGGCACGGAGGTGGCTGCGGGGCGATCCTAAATACAAAGCTTTGTACGGAGATTTTTTGGATGTACTGTTCTGGCTCTCGTCTCTACGTGAGGCAAGCGATCCAAGAGACTCCATCTATGCATTTTTGGCTCTACAAAAGGACGATTCTGGCTCCCGTGCTGTTGCGAACTACAACCTGTCTATTGCACAAGCATATCGGAAATTCTGCATAGACATAGCAAGTCAAACTGGCTCCCTCCCATTTTTAGGGCTCGTTCGTGGCAGCGCAGACGCCGAGATACCTTCCTGGGTGATAGACTGGCGGATGGGTCCCTTTTCTGCGAAAGACAAATGGCAAGGTTACAGAATTGGCGACCCTCAAAAATTCCCATATGCCGCCGCCAAAGATCGATTGTACCAAGCGGCTAGAAATACACACGAAGACGATATGCGCTTGGTCGTTCGAGGGCGTGTTATCGACTCGGTCCAATTTGTGTCATGTGTTACGCGTGAGGAGCTTGCAAACAGTGGATTGGAAAATGTACGATTGGCCGAGGAGATGTCCAATATAAGGACGTCCATGCCTACAGTGGATATCGATACTCCCGCCAAAGCACAGCTTGCTAAAACACGCGTCTTCGCTATACTTGTTGGCCTCGATCTGGACCAGCAGCCTCTTGGAGAGTCACTGCAATATACTCCAGAAGAATTGACCTCAATGTACGAGCACTACATTGATACACATTCAGCTGACGACATTGGCGAAGAGCTCTACAGGCAGCGATTCAATCATACAAACCTGAGACTTGAGCATAAGCGACTGTTTCTCGGCCGCAAGCAGTTGTTTGGTATTGGTCCAAACGCCATCCTCCCAGGCGATTGCATATGTATCGTACATGGATCTACGGTTCCTTTGATCCTAAGACGATGCGAAAACGGGACGGAGTACACAGTAGTGGGACAGTGTTATTACGAAAACTGGATGCATGGCGAGCTAGTTGACTGGGGAGAGGATGAGGCTGATGAGTTCGTGTTGATATAAGATACGTTCGGCTTGAACGATCACCGAATCTAAGGACATGTCCATGTCTCAATTCATGCGCTCCGTTCAGGCCTCAGGAACAACGGCATACCCTTGTTCCAATATACAAGTTTGGCCCATGCAAAGGAAAGGACTCAGACGTCATTGTCACATATTTTATGCTCCGCGTTCGCGTTGTACTGTCTTGAAGCAGCACAACTATCCAATAATGTTACCGGAGCGCACTCCCGTCATTCCGTCTGTGGCGTCGTGTGAGAACCAACGTACCAATCACAACTTAAGACGCCAGACACTATTGAACGCCCTGACGCATGCGAACCAACCAGTGATCAGAGTAGTGCATAAAGCTGAGCGCTAGTCTGGTGATTTCTGGAATGATGCCGTGTACATACCAACTCTCATCATCAGATAATCCAAGCCATGGCTCTTGCTGACTGGTCAAAACATCGTATCACATAGTCGGCGACTCGAGATCGTGGCTGCAGTACGTGGTTTCAACGGCGTTGAGTTGGGGTTGAGCTTCTAGAAGACATGTACGTGTAACGCACCCAAAGGTCGGTGAAGACGAGGCTATGAGGCATGGCTTGCTACTAAGCTCCTACAAAAGAGCCATGCACACCGTCCCCGGGATGACAAGACAGAAGTGGTTCGACTCAGATGACTATCAGCATCATCATCATCAACAACCAACACGGCATCGTCGCTGACATGGTCCCCCGTTGTCCCATTCACCCTTGTCCGTCTCGCACACCTCCTCACCTGAACTTCTCGAAGGCGTCCAAAAGTTCCACTGCTTTTCCAGAAGGCCCGAAAGATGGGTGTACGGATAAAGTCTCAAACCCAAACATGTGGGGTAACAGGCCACCCTACCCCTGGTCTCCGTTGCAGGATCTATATTGCGTTTCTCCGGGGTTGTGCATTAGTCAACGTGAGAGAGCGCGCGGCACGCGCTATGTGTACCATTGTGATATGCGCTTCACATGAGCAGATGCACTAAGACTGGATATGGTGTGGAGTCTCTTGATGTCTGGGCTGCATAAGTGCTATCCGATGTCGTAGCCTCATGCACGACGCCTCACGCTGACTATGTACCAAGTCACGGTCATCATTCAAGTGGCGGTAGAAGCCACCGCGCCGTACCGAGTCCGAACTCATTTGGGGTACACCGTAGTACCCACAGATCATCCCTCAGACTCATTACTTCGACCCACACATCATCTTCCAAGCTGCACCTTGCCACCACTCGTTCAGTCTTGCATTGTCTGGTGGTGTAGATACAGTATTCTCCCTACAGCCCAAGTCGTGAAAGATCGTCCAGGACGGTGATGAGTTGAATCTTTGAAAGAGCTGCCTATTCTCAAATGTCTTCATAGACGCTATGGCATTTCGAGACAACGTATATTAGGTGTTGACTCGCCGAAAGCCTTCGGCATATACCCTCGGGGTACGGCAGATATGAGGACCTGGTTGATGGAGACCTAGTACCCGTTTGTCTCAACGTCCGATTCGAGGTGTTGAAGATGACGGTCTGTGCTTGGACCCAGTAGTGGGTTGGTCGAGGTACGCCTTCTGTGTCGTGTAGATGATAACCGCTTTCGCATGTGATCTTCCATTGTCCTGTTGGTCCACATATATACGGAGGCCTCCGAATATGGAAGGTGGATCTTGCCACGCAACGTAGAGCAAGTACCCCCATTAGCGGTATAGCTTTTCCGTTCGGGAATAACCACAGTCTTTGTCGTGTTGTACATGGCATTCTGGTACCGCATTCTGGATGTCTCACACATCGAATTTGAGTCCTGCCGTTCGTAGCCACATCTGCCGCTTTCCTTCTGCTTCGCGAATGATCTCAGCCGAGAGTTGGAGGCTGGGTGCGAGATGAGCATATCGTTCCATTTCCAGAACAACGTTATTTATGATATCGTCCATGGTCGCTGGCGGAGGTAGTAGCTGAGATAGCGAAGGGGTCATAGTTGCGCCCATGATGAGTAGTGTCTGCGAGATAATTCTAGAAAGTGTCAGTTCACGTTGTTTTGACAAGCTGCCCGACTTACGAGAGAGCACCCTGGAACAAATAGGGTAGATGTCCAGCGTGGTGTGCCGTAATATATTCCAGTTGGCGGACGCATGCCTCCAGACATTTATGGCAATTGTCCTGCACGCTCGAATCCATCGCCAAAGTCTCGTCCTGCAAGACCAAAAGCACATACGGTCGAAAGATAATGGTACGGCACGCGAAATAACGCAGCCTCAGAACGGTCTGAACTGGGTTCTGCAAAGGCACTCTATCGAGCGGGAATTGCATAGCTGGCGGTAGACCAGCATACCACTGATTCAACTGGTAATCTAGTTCCACAACTAGTGGGTCTAGTTGGGCGATGGATGTCGCAGCTGGGCCTTTGGAATATGGTGTTGTCCTTATGTATAGCATGGAGCTCACGCGGTTGAGAAGTCTTCGAAGGGCGATTTCTGCAAGAAAGTACCACAATTCATCCCGACCAACTGCTTCTGTTCCCAGATCTTCAAAGCCGGTTGGTAGTGAAAAGCCTTCTTCAAATTGTGCGATGCCAGAATGGGGAAGATCAAGTTCTGCTAGCAGATCACTCTCAATCATCACAGCATTCCAGTAAACTCTTCTGCCTAGTTCTTCTTCCGCCGGAGACACTCGACCGGGCGCACTCAAAAGAAGTTGCAGTTTCATACTGGCCCCCGAAAGTACATTCCAGGCTTCGACCGGACGTACAAGATAGACCAAGTATGCTGCAGCGAGAATTTGGCATTGCGCGGCTACCATGTTGTTCCTTGTCATGACCGTCGGTAGCAAGCTCCAGGCTGCGGTAAAGTATGCCAAGCCTGGGGGATCCTTTTCTGGATTTTGTTGTGTAATACTGCCGGTGCTTGCAGCATGACCCAAAGCAAGAACCAGAAGAACTATGCAGCTTTCAGGACCGTCCCGAAAACCATGGCTTAGAGCAGTTTGGTAGTGGCTACTCCATGTGTAAGGATTGACGACCGCGTAGAAGACATTTACTCTTTCAAAGTACGCTTGCACATATGCGCCAGTATTTGAAAGGTCCAGCCCGCGGCTCGTTCCAAGGCTCACAGACTCCCGGGTCATCTCCAACTGAAGCAGAAGCTTGGCGTCGTACTGGCGAGATACGAGCTCTCTTATCATTGGAGATGACAACAGATTCAATGCTGCTGTGTTGTGAGTTTTCGGCATAGTGGAGATGTTCGAAGGATGGTTGGTCCATGTTCCTATGCCGTTGATCGGCTGGACCATGCCGAGATGGGGTATATTGCCGGTGCTACGGGCGAGGAAGTCTTCGCTTGTAGAATTACTCGCAGCTGGCGAATGTGACGATAATGAGAAATTACTGGTAAGGCCAGATTGAAGGAGGCCTTCAATGCGATTGAGGTGTTCCAAGATCAGCTTGTCGCCTGCGTCTAGCTTGATCCCTGGCTCCCGGTAGATGCACTCTGCATTCAGCTCTGTACAAAGTCTGCACTTCGGCCTCGTTCCATCGCATCGACTCTTCCGCGACCGGCATATTTCACACTGTTCATAGTTAGTTTCATGGAGTTGACAGATCGATAAGAGTCTGCTGTACCGCAATGGTTGCACGGCGTCTCGGGTAGTCTATTGTGTCGGTACTTGGACGCTTTTTGGTGCTTGGTCGTGATTCCGTGTTCGTGCCGTTGGTGCCATTGCTGGTAGGCGCAACTCCATTTGTTTGGGCGGGTGGGGTGTTGTCATTGGACATTTCCCTGTCTGTACCAGATGACTGAGACATGTTGCGGGGCCGCTTCTTGAAGGAATTACTCAGACCACCGCTTCCTGAGAACAGTCCATTCGGTGAGTCGAGCAGATGAGGAGACGTCAGAGCAGATTTTAGGATAAAGCTGTTTGCTTCGGGCAAAGTGGAGAGATTGAGGCAGAAGGCGTCCCGAGGGAATCCTCCATTAGTGGTCGCCGCTGACACGGGACTAACATCTGGAGAAGGAGTAATGCCCGCCATGATTGGTGGACGGTTAGAAGGCGGCTGGGGCACGCTGCACAACTTCTGCGGCGTGCAGCCACGATATCGAGACAAAGTCCTGGGTTCGTAGGCGAAAAGGGGGGTAAGCTAGGTGTAGCTGATGGAAGCAAGATACAACAATCCAGTATGAGCATGAGGCGGCAGGACCAGCGACGATTATAACCACACCAAATCTCGCCTCTTCTTAGCTCCTACACCTACACATGTCACAAAACCGCCTTCGCGAGATGAGCGACGCGAATGCGGGGACGACCAGGGCATCAAGCACTCCACATTACGCTCAGACAATCAGAAAATGGCGCCAAAATGATCCCTCAAGGGTCCCGAGTCGCAAGCCGTGGCCTGCACAGCACCATGGTCTTTCTACCCACCAACGAGGCCGCAGCTTCGCCCGATTGGCGATACATTGCCTGCAACTTGCCGCACGCTTGGGTAGACACACAAACAGCGTAGTGGTGGTGGCAGCCATGATAGTGTGGTGGCAGCCTGCTTACAGAGGGGTCCGCAGGAAGCACGGAGCATGGGAAAGCCATGCGGTGTGTCTGGAGAGGGCCGCGAAGCGAGCGACCTTCCCCCAGCCTTTCAACGTGCTAACCGCGTACAACAGGCTAATACATGAGGAAAACGGCCGACTAAGATCGCACTGCGCATACTGTTCCCTTGGCGCAGAGGGTCCAGCAGGACTGTGATCAGCAAACGGCGGCAGTGGACCTGCATCAGCAGCATCTCCTGATCAGCCCCGCTACGCCATCACAGCTTTCGCAGCATCTCATATTGCTACCAAGCCACACGAGCTCCACTCGAAGATTCACAAGCCTTCCCATAGGCGGGACGAACCTTCCATGCAGCCTTTCATATTAATTTGCTGCCCGAATGCAATCACAGGGTGCCTGGATATACCCTGGCTTCTACCAAGGTACCTGTAGGAGCCGTAGAACAAGTGGACACTGGCACACAGCGGCTGGGATTCCAACCAGTCAAATCAGCTGCTGTCTCCGGCACTGCTTCCTTGGACTTGACTGCCTTCGATTATGCGTGGTACCGGCGATCCAACACCGTGTATAGAAACGCTCTTATCGACTAACTCAACGCTGAGTTGAGGCGGCGTAGTGATTGTCATGGCGCGAATCCAAGACACGGAGATGTCTGTTCTCGTATAGCTGGTCCTACGAGCTGGATGACCTGTGAACACGCGACCAATAAGAAAAAGCCTCTAGAAGATGAGGAAGATGTGTACTAGAAACATGTTATTGATCTGCGCTTCAAGCGGTTGAACCCCAGCCATGCGCCACATGATGGGGCAGACGTTCGGTAGGTCAACACGACCAGGATGCTCTCTGCTGATGATTGTGTCTCACGCTATCTATGTCTACCTTTTGCGTGCAAAAAGAATAGCCGGTGGGTTCCTGAATCTGACTACCGTTCGATGGCGTGCAGTGGGGTTCAGACAGCCACTAGTGGACCGGCCGACAGGAGGTTGTCTTCGTTGCCTCTAGCAAGGTAAGAGTTGCACAATGCAAGGCGCAGGAGGGTTCAAGATGGGTGTTGCCAACAGTCAGAGCAAGGCTGACCACCTGCGTCATGCAGCGGCAGATGTTAAATGACCCAAGCAAAGCCATGTTGTACGGTCCGAGTATTCTATTATAGCCTCTCATTACAAGGCTGTTGATGCACCAAGCTCTGCAACTAAGAGATGCAAACACTAAACATGACGACTATAGCCTAGGGTCAGATACTAACATGCTTACTGTCCATGGCAAGTTGGAAGGAATTCCGATACTGTGGAACTTGACCACCGTACGTCATTCTTTGATTTCATAATAATAATAATACCATGAAGAAATTATGCAGGTTTTGTTAGTGACAACGGTACTCGGTCCAGAGTTCGCCTGGAAATGACGAGATGACAGGTCAGCAGTAATTATGTTACAGATACTGATGAAGAGACGTGGTCGCGCCGTCCTTCGGAACTGACAACGCGCTGTCTTGCGTTGCCTTCACCATGACGTCGCTTCTAGTTACACAAACTCAAAGGCCTACCTTGGTAGTTATACAAGATAAGGGAGAGCGGCACAACCAGTCTTGCCAACAAATAAACAAACAAACAAATGGTGAGCTATCTTGAGAGAATGTGGAAAGATCGCTGCCTGATCAGTCACTCAATCACACAAACAATCTAAACTTCGAGAAGATCGCGCGATTAATATAGCGGCAAGTGGAAAAACACCAATCGAGACGACTGACATTGTCATTTGACAGCGAAAATGAAACCAGAGGCACTGGACGCACTCACTACACAAACAATGAGACCGAAAGCACTGGATGCTGTTGCAGCTCAAAAGGAAGGGGAAAGGTCATCAGACACGAGATCACCAGCTCGGCAGCAGGTATACTCTCAGATTACTGCTACTCGAATTTCAGGTTAAATCATACCAGACACAGGTCACTGAGGAGCCAGACACCGCAAGTAAGACCTTCGAATCCTCAGCATCAGCATCGGATGGCTCCGTAGCAACCACAGATGGCTCCACCGAAGATACCCCGACTACTCCGACTCCTACAGCCACCACCATCGTTTCAGAGGTCGCCCAAAGCGTCAAGTCAGCAGTCGACACCGCCATCACATGGGCCGAAACGAAAGTCGAGAGCCTAAGCGCAGAGCACGATAGCACAGGCCCATATACCTCACCAGCGACTTGCATGCCCTCGGACCTCGATGCCATTGCCAGTGGGATTCTGCCTGCTATGCCGATTGCGAGACAATACGATGGAGGTGTTGATGATGAGAAGAAGGAAGCAAAGAGTACTGAGAAGAGCACCAAGACTGGAGACGGAGAGAGCGAGAAGAACGGAGAGAAGCAGGATGATGAAGCAGAGCCTAAGTTGTAGGCTTCTGTGAAGAGTTGGAAAGGCGAGAGGGAATGAGGGATGCGTTATGGACTTGCATATGATACCCCAGCATGACTTTGGTTAATCAGGGACGGTTCAAAATATTCGTGATAGCGAATAAAACACTAGCACATGCCAAAGAATTTTTTTGTCCTCAGGTGTCTATGCAGGCGCATTGACAGATGTTGCTAGATTTAACAGCGTAGGGAGACGACGGCGTGTTGACACGCTCATTGTTTGCCCTCATAGTCCCTCTTCCACACCTCCCTGAAGCTCTCCTTGTCCACGGCGAACTCCTCGAGGAAATCTCTCTCGAGATCATGTGTTCGTCGACCCAGCAGTACCAAGCTATGCAGTGGCTTTCCCAGATCTGCCTCACATAGCTGTGCCAAGGTGCCTGCGACAATCTGCTGGTCCTCGGCGCCCACCCGCGCGACACCCACAGCCAGACTGTCCTTTGTGTAAGCACCCTCCTGCTTGACATCCTCCTCAATCTCCAACATCTGTTGTGCACACTGCGCGACTGTCATGTACCGTGGTGGCTCGTAGATTAGGCGTCCGCGCGCCATATTCTCTATACTTTGTTCCTTTACTTTGATGTCGAGGAGGACGAGTGTGTGTAGGCCAATAGAAACGTTCTCCTTGATGCGATCGTAGAAGGAGGCAGGCTTCCAGTTGTCAAGGAAGAAGACCATGGAGACTGTTTGTCCAAAGTTGTAGAGTTGCAGACCCGTTGTGCCAATCGAGGTCAAGATGCTGGCGTTGGGGATGGAGCGGGTGGGAATGGAAAGTTCGCGGGCACGGAGGACGAGGTCGGTGTGAGTGGTCGCTCTACAGAATAGTTAGCTAGGCGTGAGATGTAGTGATGAAGAAGCATACCCGAATGGATCTCCCACTACAAGGAACGCGACGTCGACTTTGTCGGCATCTTTGAGGATGTCGTCGCTGGACGACTCGACCATTTCACGGTCGGCTATGATGACTTCCCGGCCATAGAAAGCTTCCTACTGCCGTGGTAATTAGTCGCCTAATGCTTCACTCATCTTCTCCGTCTTCAACTCACAAGCACGTCCTTCTCTACCAGCAGAACCGCCGTGTACGCCTCGAGGTAGACGCGTTCTGCCTTCTTCACAATCTCCAAGCCCTTGACTGTGATGTCCTTCTCATCCGCCAAGCCGAGACCCACGAGATAAAGCATGATGGGCGAATGTGACGCGTGTGGTGAATGTTGGGTGGTGGGGTTGACTCCAAATTCACAAAAAGTTGGGCGGGGCTGATTTGCATGTGGTAGGGCCGAGCGTGCGCGGGCCATCGGGACTGTCGCATCAGGCATCGTCTGAAATCGCGCTAGTAGACCGCAAACCGCGTTCCAGCCTCAGACTCCATTCACATCCATCGCAACATCCAACGCCTCTTGTGTTTAAGTGTCGGTATTTTGTAGTTGAAAGAGGTGGGCGACGCGCTTTGTATGATTGTAGGAGTTGTAAGAGTACGAAATAAGACACCATGTCGGACAAGGATAAGATGGCCAAATACCGGACGGAGATCCAACAGGTTAGTCAATCGTCTTTCTTTCTAAGTACTTTCTTATACTCTCTTCGTATTTTCGTTTTGGTACTTTTATCAAGCAAGAGATGAGTCTTTGGACAGTCCAAATTGGGGCTGCGCTGCCCTCTACTATAACCTACCTACACATCCCTTTTTGTTCAGCCGACCACTTCTCTGCGCTCAAGTCAATGTTCGAATGACGATCCCTTCCGAGTCGCTTCTGTTCTTGTATTCTTCAAAGAAGTCTATGTTGGGGGATCTGGTGTGCAAGGCTCGTTCTCGTCTAAGATTCGTCTTCTAAGGACAGAGCCGACATGGCCCGTTCTCTACTTCACCCACAATCATCCCATCTACCATCCCAAATTGTAGAGCTGCAACCGAGCTCGCCAAAACGATCATTCAGAAGATGTCCATGGCTCTTGTGTCACCCGCACATTTCCTTGACTCAAACTCCTGCCCCTACCCATACTGCGAGAAGCCATCGTCGTGTTCTTTCTCACATCCTCGCCCACCATGTCTCGGCCTCAATCGCCGGAGAATCTACTTCCGTTCGAAGTTGGCCTAAATCTAACGATCCCACAGATGATGTTCGTCTCCGGCGAAACTGGCGAACCATCTCCCGAAACGACTACTCTGATTGAATCGATCGTGCAGGATCAAGTACAGCATATGCTGCGAGAGTGCACGGCTCTAGCTACACGCCGCGGTAGTAAATCTATATCCACAGACGACCTCTTCATGCTCATTCGCCACGATCGCGCAAAGATTTCCCGGTTACGACACTTCCTTCAATGGAAAGACGTTCGTCGTTCCGTCAAAGACTCGGATGACAAAGGAGGCGATGCCGGTGCTGACGTAGGAGCTGGAGATGCAGACATAGCTGCAGGCGTAGTAGGCGCAGGTGGTCCTGGCGCTGCCCCCGTCGATGCGTCAAAGAAAGCCAAACGCGCCAAGGTCGACTTAGTCTGGGACGTACAATCTTTCTTCACCGAATTCCCACCCCAAAAAGACGATGTTGAAGACGAGGAAGAAGAGGAGATGAACTATGCCACCCTACAGCGCTTGAAGAATGCAGACGAACGTACCAAGAACATGACGCGTGAAGAGTATGTCCATTGGTCCGACTGTCGTCAAGCATCCTTCACCTACCGCAAAGGCAAGCGTTTCAAGGAGTGGGCAGGCTTCGGCCTTATCACCGATTCTAAACCTTCCGACGACATCATCGATATCCTGGGTTTCTTGACATTTGAGATTGTGCAAACGCTTACGGAAGAAGCTCTCAAAGTCAAGGATGCGGAAGACTTGTACAAGAAGAACCATGGTGGTGAGCAGAACCGACTCAAGAGAAAGAGGGAGAGGGGTCTGTTTGATCCGCCTGAGGAGGCCAGGGAGCCAGTGCAACCAAGTCATGTGCAAGAGGGATACAGAAGGCTGCAGAGGGGTAATAACAAGGCCAAGGCCATGCTCAACTTCACGAGGAATGTGCACAGGGCGGCGCTGAAGCTGGTGAGTAATGCAGTACAGCAGGCGAGGAAGTGCGCTAACATGACATAGATCTAGTGGCAAAGCAACCCGACCTAGGTTGGATCTGCACATGGTGTTTGGACAAGGCGCTTCTGGTTATTTGATACCCTGAGCAGTTAAAAGGGTGTATGGCGTCTATGGCAAGGAAATTTGGAAATTCGCGAGCTTTTAGAATGCGTGCCGTGGTTTGTTTGAGAAACGAGAACCAATGGAGCAGGTATCATCACTATTGTCGTAAACGCAAACAATGCATGAAAGCAGACCAACTCCAAGTTTGACTACTGGTTTCTAATTCCGATGCTCATTTCCCTTTTTGGTACACTCATAGCATCGGTGATCAGAGCGGGGGCAGCCTTGTCGGTCGAGTATGCATGGAGAGAAGAGTCCTTCACAGACGTAACATGAAACATGACCGCATATGCCCAGATAAAAAGGAGAATGACGCCCTCCTTTAACCTTGAAAAGACCCACGCCAGGTGTTCATCATGATATCCCGTGCTTACTCCTCGTCGCCCAGCTGAGCTTGACGCTTCTGCTGGACACGCTCCTGCCTCCTCTCCCTCGCCGCCTTGGTCTTCGCACGCTTGGCGTCCATCTCTTCCTGGATAGCCCTCTCGCGGGCCTTCTCAGCCTTGGCCTTGTGGATCTGTGGTGCATGTTAGTTGCCGAACTCTGAGCGGGGTTGACATAGTCATGATGTCATGGTCAACGTACGTGTTCAACGAGAGCACGCTTGTGCTTGAAGGTGTTACCCTTGGACAGGTGGTACAGCTCGTGGTAAAGGTGCTTGTCGATCTTTCCGGCGGCACGGTACTTGACGAGGAGACGGCGGAGGACACGGAGACGGCGCATCCAGACGATTTGGCTATAGACATCCGCGTCAGCAAACAGTCTCCATCATCATCCTTGATCTCCCACAAGGAGACTCCCCCGAGTCCACTGTGGTCGTGGTATCGTGATTGCGTACCTTGGCATACGAGCGTCCTTGGTACCCTTCCTCTTACCGAAACCACGGTGGCGACCAATTCGTCGAGCAGCGGTCAGCTCCCGGGCGCGGGCACGCGAGTGCATGGTGACGGGCTTGCGGATGATGAGGCCATCCTGGACCAGCTTGCGGACGGTCTGACGGGAGTTGGCGTTGGCGATTTCGCTGGTCTCGTTGGGGTCGAGCCAGATCTTGCGCTTTCCGCAACCGACCACGGAGGCCGCGAGGCGCTTCTGAGGGCGGAGGTTGACCCTGTGAAACACGCTGGGTCAGTATTTTGATCAATTGTACGGTGATAGGCGATGGAAGGTGCTGTCGTGGGAAGAGGGGTTCGCCACGTCTCGAGCGCCTATTGAGCACAGCGGCGAGTCGGGAAGGCTGTTGCGGGTGCGGGAGAGCTCTTCGAAGCCATGCTGGAGGGTATGCAATCGGAATTCCTTACATTTTGGCGGGTTGGTTGTCCTGGTGGTTAGTATCGAGAGTCGCGGCACCCTTTGACGTTGGAAGGACTGAGAATATTCGCTGGCGCGTGTGATCGCTTAGAGTGCCAAGACGGTCACGTGCACATCACTAGTCGTTTTGCGATGCCCACCGAAACACGACAAGCTTCAATGCACCATCCAAAACAAAGTCCGCAGCTGATGGAACACGATGATCATAGATACGGCTACGGAATTTTTCCCATAGTTCCAACATGGCTGTGGCTCTCGCATCTGCGAACATCTATCGCCAAGGCTTACAAGATTTAGGTTATTTCCGTGGCAGCTTTCTGCTGCTACCGCCAAATGCGTTCAACACGTCTGGCACAATGACTTTACAGTTGAAGCATTCGCTTTCAGTCGCCCTCTGTTTCTGTCGCGAGTACATATCTCGAAGATGCAGCGTCTCATTGCCAGACAGTCTTCAAGGAGTTTGTATGTTCATCGCGCGACAGCACGCATACCGTAATTCCCGGCATCGACGATGGATGACGCGCCGAACTATTGGTGCCTACGCCTAGGTCGATGCGTTGCAAGAAGTGTCGCGTGTCTCATCATGACTCATTTGCGATCATCCCAAGCCCAGTCCCGTACTTGTAGCAGTGCCGCGGAGACTACATAAGAAGTCTACCTCGCCTTAACGACAACGAGTCTGGTCATCGAGCGGACCGCGCGTACGTTGCCCACATGTGCTCCTGAAGATGCCTTAGAAATCTCTAGCATGTCGAACATGGGAAACATAGTCCATTTTGAAACAGAACGTTCAATATTTGAGCCATATACGACGCAATCTCTTTTCGTACAAACGCGATGGTCAGATCTTCTTTACTTATACATTGATTGGTAACCGACATATTGTCATTCACAACAGTAGGTAACTTGTGTATGCGCGAATCAGCTGCGCATACGGAGGCAAGGAAGTGGATTTTGATACTGCTGACTTTAGCGTTATCAACTGAGGGTATTAGATAAGTAGGTTGTGAGGAGATGTTAATATCAGTCTTGTCGGTGGAAGAGAGGTTGAGAGAAGAGTACTTAGATGTTTGCATTTCTATTCCCGTATTTGTCCCCAACTCCATGATTCAGGTCTCGGTCACTATGCCACCCATACTCTCACTACCTGTATTCTGTATATGCACTTAACTACTACACAATTATCAACCGTGAACACGTGTCTGCGATGGTTACTCTAACCATGCGGTGGTCTGGATCTTTCCCTGAACGGCCCTTTCCCTCGCATTCATCCTCCAGCCTCTTTGGTTGCACTCCAGCCTTGCCATCTTTCCCAGCACTAAGTCGTCATTATGCAATATACGTGGAGAGATAGCGTATAGCCCTTGCCTGAAGAGTATGTTCGGACAACCCCAGAACCTACTTACTACTTCATTGATGGCCAAGGCGCTCGTGAAAACAGTCGACACCGATTGAAAGACTTGCTTGGTAATTTAGAGTCTTTGATAAGCACCTGAGAAACGTACGTATTTCGGAGTCTTCTTGGGATAGTTGTGATAATGGTATGCTGATACCCTCGAGGATGTCATTGGGACAGGCGCACATATTGAGGAGTTGCTTATCGGATGGCGGAATAAACAAAGTAGCCTTCTCTTGTTGAACGTCATTTCCTGCCCACTTATATGTCCCACGTAGACAATTCCGTCATCTTCGCTTCCAGCAATTGATTCAAGGAAGAAAGCTGTGCGGCAACTCTTTAACAAATTGTTGAGGAAGGTGCGAATCCCTAATTCATGTCGCAGATGATGAGATTCCAGCACCTTTGAGCTGACCAACTTGGTCAAACGAGCTTCGTTGAGAGCATTTGCTTTTAGTAGCATCATCTAGATATTCACGTGCTTAGCGAATGGATGTCCAGGTGAGACGCAACAGGGAAGACGGGAAGTTCCCCTGGACCCTCGTGGCAATGACACTTCACACGTGCCACAACATACCACGAAAACACCAGGCGTTGGACATCAAAGCAGCAACATGGACGTAGAAGGCAGTGAAAGAGCGCAATGACTCTGGTAAACAGTTGACTGGCGTGCGGCAAATCAAAGGGGATGTGGTTTCCCGGCCTACAGCAAGTCGTGTGATGGCGGGTGGACTTGGCACTAATGCAGGGAAGGACAAGGTAGCGGAGATTATGGGCCAACTTTAACGGCGGGACCCCGACTGGATTGATATAACGCTGCTCGACTCCTGACTTGACGTTTTGCACCCGTAAACGTTGCGAGTCGCAGAACAAGCTTCACAGTCACAGCTGAACGTCTCCGCTCCACACGTCAATCAGCGCCACACAGCCCCATTGATCAGCACACGTTACGGCGCATACCGGTGGTTGATCGCGCTATAATTGGACCTCCTTGTGCAACCCGCCCTCATTTGAGCGACGTTGCCAACTCCGAGTCTCTGGGACTCGCTTTACCTTGGACAAAGAAAAGACAAACAACATGTCGGCCGCAGCAGCAACCAAGCCACCAGGCACGCCTCGTCGCGAAGCCAATACTAGAACCACCTCGTCGTCCCCTGCAGCTGCGAACCGCACGCCAGCCCGCTCCTCGACGCCCACTGCAAACGGCACCAGTGGGGTTTCAAGGACACGATCTGTCCGCGGCGGCGCCAATGGCACTCCCGTTTCAGCGCGCGCGGCCGTCAAGAAGCCCGCCGCATCTTCAAATCTGAGCAACGCCTCGCAGCCCGACGCTGCTGACGACGACGCCAGGGAGGAGCAAGCTGCGCTGCTACAGGAGCTCAAGGACCGCCTACAGAAGGCAGAGAACGAGGCGGCAGAGCGACAGAAGCAGGTCGAGATCCTCAATTCTCGCCTTGACGATGCCCTTGCCGAGCAGGCCAAGCTCGAGGAACGTGCGCACGAAGAAGAGGAGAAGGTTGAGTCGCTGGAAAATGTGAAGCGTGAGCTTACGCGCCAACACCGCGAGCTCGAAGGCATCTACGAGGCCGAGAGGGCACAGGTGATGAAGGAGAAGGAGGAGACGCAGTCGAGGGAGGAAGAAATGCAGAGCACCATCCAGCGCCTCAAGGAGACCATGGCCACAAAGAACATGCCCACTGGAGAGTTCGAAGAGGAACAGCACTTGTCGCGGGCCTGTAAGCTACAACTCCCGCCAGATCAACGTGGTAGCCATGCACATACTAACACATTTCGCAGCAAGCTTCCGCAACAACCCATCCCGCTCCAATTCCTCGCAGAACCTCGAGAACGTCGCATCCTTTGCACCGCCCAACTCGGTCCAACGTAGCAACTCGCGAAACAACTCGAAGCTCATCCACCAGAAGGACAAGATCATTGAAGACCTGCGCCTCGAGCTCGCCGAATATCAGGTCAAAGTGCTGGAAGTTGAGAACGCCGGAGGCGGACGTATGCGTGAACTAGAGAAGCAACTGCTCGAGACACGCATGACCAATGCCAGGCTTATGGAAGACAACGAGAGCTTCCAGCTTCTGTTGGGAGAGAAGACGCTCAACGGAGACTTGAGCCGCGGCGACTTCCTTCGCGAGACGTCGAACGCCGATGACCGCGTACCGAGCAGGAGCGGTCCTTCGACCAGCTTAGCTGACGAGCTTCAGTCAGCCGAGGAAGGCGATGCAGAAGTCGTTCGCAAGCTCGAGGCTGAAGTCAACAGCATGAAGGCGCAGAACCAAGCCCTTACCCTCTACATCAACAAGATCATCGGTCGCTTGCTCACACATCAGGGCTTTGAGTCAGTCCTGGGTAACGACGGTGAGAACGATCGCGGCGCTGGCCCAGACAAGAACAAAGATCTGCCACCGCCTCCTCCCCAGGAGAGCGACCAGCCACAAGGATTCCTCCAGCGCGCTAAATCTGTCGCCATGGGCGGAAACAAAAAGCCCAGACCTCTGAGTGTGATGGGCCCCCCTCCGGTCACCAACCAGCAGAGCGCGCACGAGGACCCCAATACGGCTCCACGCATCCCCCTCACTCGCTCTACATCTGGTCGTCACCCCAGCGGTTCTCATCACCACCGCCGTTCCACTTCCGACGTACCGGGAGCCGCAGGCGTGGTCAACAACATGTACCGCCCTTCACCCGCATCGCCTGGGATGGTATCGCCTCGCAACAGTTTCTTCGGTCTGCCTGTCAGCACGGGCCCTGGATCTAGCAATCCGGTTTCAAGGGTACCTTCCGGCCAAGGTCCCACCATACCTGAAGACAAGGAAGTCGACGCTAGGACAGAGTCGTCTTCCGCGAGCCACGTCGATACACCTAGCCCACCTCGCCAGTTGACGCGCAGCGACACTAGCACTGGTGTTATGACTGGTAAAGGCATGAGGCCATTACGCTTGGTCCAGAACGAAGAAGAAGCCAGCAAGGCGCGCAAGGCAGCCAACCGCGCAAGTTGGTTCGGTGGTCTATTTGGTCAGAATCCACCACAGAACCAGGAAAACACGCAGTAGAACTGGCGCCGTCCTACTTGTTAAACCGACATTTCATGTAAGTACTTCTCCGGTGGATGCCCTTTGGATATGACGATAGACGGATGTACGACTTAATGGAAAGCAAATGAAGGAACGAGGAATGGATATCAGACAAGACAGGGAATGAGCATACATATATACACATTGTGGGTAGGGAGCGTCAGTCATGGACTTTTTGTCTCGCTCCTTGCTCGCACCATTCTAGTATACCCCGCTTCTCCCCTGCTTTTGGATTTTATGTACTTGCATTCGGGTTTTTGGGTTAGTAGTTGGTGTAATGGTATTTTCTCTTCAACTTTGAAGTTCTGTGTGCTCTGGTGCTTCGATGAGACTTCATCGTGGCTTTGTGATTGCGCGTGTCTTTCTTGTTCTTTGTCTCGGCTGTAACCGCTGCTGCTTCAGAATCCCGAAATGGAGTATCTTCTCTCTCTCCACATAGATAGATGGGCAGCGTCGAGCTCCTTCTTCGCTCGAATTTGGGAGTCACAGATACCATCATCGCATCTGCACTCCCCTCAGCTCCTCTGCCTTCGTCCCCGTTCCGTTCCTCCACTGCACTGCTCGGCCTCCGCTTCAAGCTCTCAAGCTTCGCGAAACTGTCTAACAAGCTCTTCCTCGGTAGCACGCTCAAGCTGCTCCGTCTTTCCTGGCACATCCTACACTCTCCTTGGTCGCTAACCCGGCGTCTTTTCATCCGATTTGGGCATCTTGTTGGGTCTAGACTATGTATGATTGCATGACTGCACTGTGTGTATCGCATAC